TTGAGCGCACCCGCCGTCTTCAGTGACGTCAGAAGGCCGAGCTCTGATTGGCTCTGATGAAGGGATAGTGGGTAGACCTGAGCCGCCTTCAAGTCTACCTACTATCCTTCCAATCGGAGCCAATCAGAGCTCCCTGCTCAAGAAGACGAACTTGCGCACAGCATAGACAATTTCAAGCATGGGCATGGCGCCCCCGACTGGTGGCCCATGCGTGCAAGCACTTGCAGCGTGCGCGTGAACCGAGCTTTGGTAAGCTTGCAATAGACGTACTGCTAAATTACTCAAGCATCAAAGAGAACGCTGGGAATGGTGTTCTACGCGCTACACGTGCTGGCGTCTGCTCAGTAACTGTTCTAAAGCAAAAGCTAAAAACAAATGAAAACTTCCACGCGCGTTCGAAAACGCTATATCTTGGTTATTCCCTTCGAATCTTTTACACGGAGAGGGCAAGCGCGTGCGGCGCGTAGAACACCAATTTCTGCATTCTCCTTGATGGTTGGGTAATTTAGCGATGTCTATTGCACGGGCTTACCCACTCGAACGGAGGCCTCGTTTACATGAAAGCGACTTCAGCGCATCGGCTCCAATAGTTCTTCGAACGAAGCCGACGCAGCAACGTTTACATGAATGCGCACAAAGCCAACAACCAAGCCCTACACGAAGGTGGCGCCACGCCGTGTAGGGCTTGGCACCAGCCGCACCACGTTTTCCGGTGCATCGCACGTGGAGGTCGTTCGACGCGTTCAGTGAACGTAAAGGTCGTGCCCGCTGTCTTCGGTGATTGGAAGAAGTTACGAGACGGAAGAAACACCAAAACCCAAGCATTCAGGGCTCCAGGCCGGGCCGCCGGGTCACTCTGGACCAGAGGCGACGTGTGTGCGCACGCTTTGAGGACGCCTCCGCTCTTCGCCGCGCCAGACCTCACCGATCGCAACCGGACCAACCGGACCCCAAGTCCGAAAGGCTCCTGCGCAGCCAGGGACGGCACCGACGTAGGAGCTGCTCGTTCTGCGCTACCACGCTGGGCTAATTGAGAAGTTTCAGCGACGGTGTCACCACACTGGCGGCCGGTCGCCGAAAGAGAAAGAGGGGGATAGGTTCACTGGGCGTTGGCTTTGTGTAAATGCGTTGGCCGGCTTCTGGTGTTGGGGCGAGCGCCTCGGGATGGACTGGTGGTCCGCTCTGGGGACGCGTTGCGGTTGGGAGCCGCTCGACGAGGAGGGACCGGTGGTCCGAGGAGAAGGAAAGCAGAGGGATCTGCGTAGCCCTCCAAAGCGGCTCCCCACCCGCACTGCGCGACGTGGTAAAGGAGTCGTACTGCGCAGCTTGTGCCGAGCGGGGAGCCCGATGCAAGGGCAGTCCCAGAATTGCACGTAACACTCGAGGAGCTGGAGCTCCGCAACTTCTCGGCATCCAATGTGCTGGGAGTGGCGGGCCGCTTGTTGGACATGCACGAAGGTTTCGCGGCGATGTCTCTTCGGCTTGGTGGGTTGGTGACGGTGAACACGCGCTGGCGGCCGGCGACCGGGGGGTTGTAGGCGGTGTACAGATTGTACATGACGTCAGGGGCAGCAAAAAAGCGCCCGGTGTCGGCGGCCGCAGCGTAGGGGGGCGAAGAGTCGGGGCTCAGGAGGGGCCGAAGCGGCGGCGTGGGTGGACGTAGTCGGTTGATACTCGACCTGGGAGCCCACCGTCCAGGCGTCGGTGGTTGGGGCGGCGGGGAATGCGGACTGGGTGTCCGCGGTGGGCTGGAGGCGGAGGCCTCCAAATGCCGCGACGGGGGGCGGCTGAGCTTGCGGTCCGGACTGGGCCGGGGCAGCTCCGGGGAGCATGTTTTGGGCGATAGCTCGGCCAACGGCCGCGGCGAGGGCGTCTACCATAAAAATATATAGAAATCTTTTTTTTTAATATGAATATATCTAACGTGCCTATGAATGCACTGGTGTGGTTGGGGGTGGAACCCCCCAACCCAAGAGAAAATGCAAAACAATTTTGTGAATTTGACAAATTTTATTCTTGTTCATTTATCTTTGGAACATACAACTGCAGTTGCTAGTATGTTCATTTATCTTTGGAACATACAACTGCAGTTGCTAGTATAGTATAGTCATAAAGGACGAGAACGCATGCATCTCGGCGTGTAGCAGGAGGTTTCAAGTTGTTGACAACAGCGCTAGTGGATGGTATCGGTACAATGGCTGCATGCCATGTGACCAGAAAAGGCACTGTGGAAACGACGGAAGCGAATTCAAAACAGTACTGTATTAATTATTTTACCTACTTGTTGCTTAACACATGGTTCACTGTGTCAGCAATCGTTTTGTTGGCCGAAGCATTCGAAACTAATCGTCGCGATAAGTGTCAGTGTGCCGAGTTCTCCGGACAATCACCGTTCTAAAGCTCACAACTTTAGGACTTCACCTGCAGAAAGGCTTAACGGAAGGAACGTTATAATTTATCAGCGATTTTGATGTGAGGATCGAATTTTTGTTTCTGGGGACCGAGAAGTCAAATCAGAAATGTCTGAAACTTTCATCCTCGTTTTGTAAAAAAAAAAAAAAAAAAAAACAGCTACAATTTAGTGTAATTACACAAACTACGCCGACTTGACCTAACCATAATACTAACAATTTAACCAGGCGTTTTCTCCAATGCGGGGGTTGGATCTTTGCGCGACCAGGGACACCATTAAGGAAAATGCAGCAACCCGTACAATACGGAAAGAAGACTGTGGCTGGGAATAAGCACGATTGACGATTCTTAGAACTCTCGTGGACCTCACATTTGTTTCCGCGCCAGAGTTACGACGCTCTGAAAATCAAACCTGTGACCGATGGTCAATGGTCAACGAATTTGGCCTTTGATCTTGTAGCGAAGCATGTGTGACCTTTTCACGTCATTTATTTATAATTATAGAAATTATCATTATATTTAAATACTGGTACGTATTTTTTGCAGGCTCATTATTTCGCGATTTAGGCAAAAGCATTTCGGAATGATTCGCGGGTTATAATTTTCGCGACACCGTGGGATCTCAAGATAAATTCCAATGTGTTTACATTTTACGGGAATTGTTTACGGGACCTATTTTTGGCGAATCGTAGGCGATTCGTGAAATTCGCAAAAATTAGGTCCTCGCGAAAATTAAGTAATTTACAGAATATAAAACGAACAATAAATGTATTCTTTTTTAGGTGTTATGAAGTCTACGAAATACACGAGCATGATTTATATTTTGTTCTGGAGACTTCACAGAGGCAACATCAGCGGGACAAGCTCAGCGGCACACCAAAACAGTCGTGCATCGAAAAGCCCGGTACTGAAAAGCGCGGTACCGAAACGACTACGTACCGAAACGACTGCGTACCGAGATCTCCGCACCGAAACGTGTGGTTCCCCATTTCATCGAACGCGTTTCTCACTACCGTAACTATCAGTACTCCAACTATTCCATACCCGTTGAATATTCAAACTCGTTGGACATTCAAGCACGTTGGATATTCCGTCTCTATTAGACCTTTCGACTCGTTGGACATTCAGTCTCGATGGACATTCTGTCACAATTGGATTTTTCATCTCGTTGTACATTCCGTCTCGCCTGTCACCTGACCGACTGGACATTCAGGTTCGTTTGACATTCAGGTCATAAGCGCACCCGATACAGAGGAGACTCATACGACATCCGGCCGATACAGAGCAGACGCATATGTGATGTCTGGTTCAAACCCGGGCCAAAGTTCGATCCTTACAGTGCTCGCATGATGTCGCGTGGATACTAGGCCGGAGGCGAAACAACCGTACAACGATATCTGCAGAATATCTGGTATTTTGCAAAAGGCATTCGTTCGATTTCTTTAGTGATTTTCGGACGGAATGCGCAGGGCACAGGAAAAGTACGCCTTGCAGCTTGAGCGACGGTTATACCAAAACCAACTTTCAAAATGTATTGTGCTCTTTGTGATGCCACATTTTGTATAACCTACAAAATCGAGAAGAAAATATAAAAACACGGTATTGTAAGCGTTTTTTTTTTCTTTCGTTTTGCTGGCGTGAGCTTAACCGGCATTCATTTAACACAGGGGGATGGCATGACGTCACGAGCCTGCCATCCCCCTGAGTCTGCTTGCCTTTTGCTTTGTATTTACGGAGTACGCAGTGAGCGCGGAGGCGGTGGGTGTCGGATTTGTAGCGTCTGCTTGTCGTTCTTTTGCCTTGTATTTGCGGAATACACAGTGATCGCGGAGGCGGTGGGTGTCAGATTTGTAGCGTCTGCTCGCCGTTTTTTCGCCTTACATTTACGGAGTAGGCAGTGAGCCCGGAGGAGGTGGGTGTCAGATTTGTAGCGTCTGCTTGTCGTTCTTTTGCCTTGTATTTACGATGTAGGCAGTGAGCGCGGAAGCGGTGGGTGTCGGATTTGTAGCGTCTGCTTGTCGTTCTTTTGCCTTGTATTTCTCGACCGCTATAGATAGAGCTTGAAATGTGGAATTTCAGAACCAAAGCACATATTCGCGATGCACCTACGTTGTTGGTAAACCTCCAGGCGGCTCCGTAATGGGCCGGCTCGCTCGAAGCAACGTATCAGCAGAAACTCTCAAGAAGGTGCAGTTAAAGGTAGCGCTCAATCTTGAATCGCGTCTCACGCGCTCGCGCGCTCCAACCTTGAAAGTGTGCTTTCTTAAGCCCGGCTCAGCTGTTACGCTGCATTCCAGCAAGCTGGCCCTGGGCAGCGGTCCTTCCGTGCGCTCTAATTTTCTCTCCCGAGCTGTTTCCAAAAAAAAAAAAGAGCCTTCCTTTTGCGAAAGCGCTCTAGAGCAGCAGACGTTGCCACTGCGATGTCTTCGGCAGTGAGAAATGATTCAGCGGTATGCGAGGCGTCAGCCCGAAAATTCGAAAGATCCAACATAGGAAAACGTGAGATATCAACTTGCCTTGTTGAGGCAGCTTCATTTTGTTACCGCGAGTAAAGCCTAGCTCCACTTGTCTCGAAGTGTTTCAATTCACGTCCTTTATTTATATTAGAATCACTTCGAAAATAAAAGCAATATATACAACACTTATTTACAGCGTTGTTTGATTTGCAACACAACAATGACTGATAAAATAGTTACGGTACCCCTTTTAGACGAACAAAAAAATTACAAGGTTAACAGAAGGCATGATGATCAGTTCAAAATATTTACACTGTGTATATGTTGGATATGTACAGTGCTAATCAGACTTGTCTATAACGCGCGAGCGTGCGGCTTTCTCCGGGGAGCGCTAGACTGGTGACATTCCCGGAAACTAAGCTAGTCACGTGGCGCAACATGGAAGGGCCCGCTCAGGGGGGTGTCCTGCCAACTCTATCAACTGGCGGCGAACGCGCAAGGCTGCTCGCACGCTTTTTACAAACATCATTACTCGAACAACAAACAAGCTAAAGCATGAAGGCGTATCAACGATGTCGCCATCAAAAAACAAAAATATATCATAAAGCACTTTACTTTTATCGCGTAGCAAGCTGATAGAGTGGTGCTACGACGCGTCCGAACGGAGACATGCTGGGTTGTGAACAACGTTTATTGTCAGGGACGTGATAATATAGGCAGCCGATGCTTCGGGTGCAGAAAGGGTGGTGATAAGAATGATAAGTACATTGGAGGATGATACAAAGTTTCCAAGAGTCATGACACAGCTCTGATACAGCATTCCTTCCCCCTAGGGGCTATAGCGATCTACAGGCTTCCTTTCTCTGGTTGACCTTCGCAACTCTGGCGGCTGGGTGTTGCTGATGGTTGGTTCTGCAGGTGTTGTATCTTGTACTGCATCTTGTCGAGCGCCTTGCGTTGTCTTTGCCGCTGTCCCTGGTACTTTGAGTGCCAGCGGCTCTCGAAAACGGATCTGGTCAATGTGACGTCGGACTTCTCCCGACGGTGTGTCCACTGGGACCATCCTTGCTCCGGTCGTTGTAGTTACTGTCCCTGGCAACCACCTTTCTCCTTCTCCGAAGTTCCGGGCCCAAACTGGATCTCCGGGCCACAGCTTGCTACGGGGTTCCTGCAAAGGCACCAATGAAGCACCAGGATACGGCAGGCAGGCGTCTAGACGAGATCTGATCTGGTAGCCTAGCAGTCGTTGTGATGGCGAAGAACCGTCAGCCAAAGGAGTTCGGCGGTACGCGAATAATATTTTAGCCAAACGCGTAGCAAGGTTACCATGCGTGACCTTTTTTAGACCATCCTTAATCGTCCTGACTGCTCTTTCTGCTAGCCCGTTGGACTGAGGGTGGTATGGAGCAGTGCGTAGATGTTCTGCGTTATTTCCCGCGAGGAATCGAGAGAACGATTCTGCCGTAAATTGAGTCCCGTTGTCTGTCACGATAGTCTTCGGTATCCCAAAATGGCTGAACATTTCGCGCACAGCTGCTATTGTAGAATCGGCAGTCGAATTCTTCATGGCCACCGCCTCTATCCACTTTGAGTGAGAGTCCACTGCAATTAATATCATGGCGTCCGACACCGGTCCCGCGAAATCCAGGTGTAATCGCGACCACTTTTCTCCCGTCTCCGGCCACTTCACCGGAACATATGATGGCGGCATCGGCCGTGCCTGGATACACGCACTGCAACTCCGGGAAAGATGTTCAATCTCACCATCGAGCCCTGGCCACCAAAGAAGTGTCCGCGCGACCGCATTCATCGCCGATGCTCCTTGATGGGTCTCGTGCAGCATTTTTAGCATCGCTCCACGTGCTGTCTGTGGCACGACGACCCGGTGCCCCCAGTAGAGCAAACCCTGGGCTACGGTGAGTTCCAACTTCCTGTGAAAGAAGGGTTGCATTTGTGGGTCGTCATCCTCTAGGTGCTTTGCCCATCCGTGCAGCACATAGTCTTTCACCCTGGACAGTAGCGGGTCCTCCGAGGTTAGTGACCGCAATCGTTGTGCCGACAGAATAGTATCATCGAGTTGGTTAACTGAAAGCACATATTCTGGCAGCTCGTCCGTCTCCTTGTCAGGAACATTTATCGGTAAACGACTCAGTGCATCAGCGTTCTGGTTCTGGGGCCCCGGCTTGTATTTTATCTTGTACTGATATGCCCCTAGCAGTAACGCCCAGCGCTGAATTCTGGCCGCCGCCATGACAGGTGTAGGTCTGTCCTCCCTCAGCAACCCTACCAAGGGCTTGTGGTCGGTAACGAGCGTGAAGTCCCGCCCCAACAGATAATCTCTAAATTTGGTTACCCCAAACACTAGGGCTAATGCTTCACGCTCAAGTTGCGAATAATTTCTTTCCGCCTTTGATAGCGTCCGGGACCTGAATCCTATTGGTCTGTCAACGTGTCCGAAACTATGGGACAACACAGCCCCTACCCCATAAGGCGACGCGTCACACTCGAGACGTAAAACTTTGGACGGGTCAAAATGCGTAAGAACATCTGCCGTACATAACACCCGCTTGGCCTTTCTGAAAGCATGCTCCTCTGCTTGGTCCCATTTCCAGCGTTGATTCTTCTCTAGAAGGTTGTACAGTGGCGCCAAGAGGGTAGCCATGTTGGGCAGAAACTTGCTGTAGTAGGTCAAAAGTCCTATGAAAGAGCGGAGTTCACTTACGTTCTTCGGGCTCCTTGCTTCCATTATAGCCGCCAGGTTCTTTTCCGTAGGGTGTAGGCCGTCCTTGTTGATGCGGTGCCCGAGATAGCAGACTTCGTCCTGCCAGAAGTTACACTTCCCTCTGTGCAGCTTGACTCCGTTCTCCTTGAAACGCTGCAGCACCTGCTTGAGCACGCTCCTGTCTTCCTTTCTTCTCTCCGAGACAATGACGTCATCGAGATACGCTTGTACGCCGTGTATTCCTCGCAGCAGGCTCTCCATCTTGCGCTGGAAGATAGCGGGTGCGGAAGAAATACCGAATGGCAGCCGGTTGAAACAGAAGAGACCACGGTGCGTGTTGATGACGGTTAACTTCTTGGATTCGTCATCGAGTGGCACCTGATTGTACGCATGTCGAAGGTCCAACGTACTGTACCTGTCGCCCCCATTGAGTGCCGCGAACAGGTCGTCGATTACGGGGAGTGGATATTGCTCGGTGCAGCAGGCTGAGTTCACGGTCAACTTAAAATCGCCGCAAATTCTTATGGTCCCATCCTTTTTTAGGACAGGGACAATTGGTGTGGCCCAGTCCGCGTGAGGAACCGCAGAGATAACACCGTTTTTGACAAGTCTGTCCAGTTCATTAGACACTTTGTCACGCATGGCGTATGGCAGAGGCCTGGCCTTGAAAAACTTGGGTGCAGTTCCTTCTTTCACATATAGATGCGCTGGCAGGCCTTTGAGCAAACCCAGTCCGTCACTGAACAACTCCTCGTATTCTGACAGTAGTTCTTTCAGCTCGACGTCCTGCGCGGTTTCGGTTGCCGCCGTTAACTTCAAAACAGGTGTTCCAAGACAGTTCAACTTTTGTATTAAGTCGCGTCCACATAAACTTGGACCTGCGCAGTCTAGGATTGTCAGTGTCGCCGTCACCTCTTGGTCACAATACTTGACGGCAAGCGTAAGCTTACCAGCCACCGGCAGCTTCCCCAGGTAGCATGACAACTTCAGTCTCGAACGTTCCATCTTCGGCCAGCCATGGCAGTGCCTGTCATATACGTCCCTTGAGATTACGCAGACCGGCGAACCTGTATCCACCTCCATGACGATGTCGGCGCCACCCCAACAAAATTTCCTGCGCACAGGTGCAACCAACTGTTCGTCTGTTGAGAGATACGACTTCAAGGTCAACAGCTGCAGTGACATGTTGCTCTCATCGCTGCTGGCTTCGTTTCCGTGTATCGCACAAGCTTTGGCTTGTTTCCTGGTTTCCGTGCGACACATTCGGGCTGCATGACCTTTCTTTCCACACTGGAAGCACTTCATGTTCATGAACCGGCATGTTTCTGTTCCGTGCGCTGCGTTCCCGCATCTTCCGCACAAGTTAGCTTGCACGCGAGAACCTTTATCTGTTTTCCTGAAGTTGAATCTTCGCATTTTTTCGGTGAGCGCGTTCAAGGCTGGGGCTGGTTCCTCTGCCGGCTCCGGTTGCTTAATTTCTTGCGCGCCTTGCGTGGCTGCTCCAGCGGCTCGCACGATTCTTTCAGTTTCTTGCGATGTCAGCTTCGGCTGTGCCAGCAGCAGCTTCTGAACATCCGTATCTCGAATGCCGCACACAATTCTGTCTCGAATCATCCGGTCTAGCATGTTTCCAAAATTACATTTGTCAGCTATGCGTCGGAGTTGCACGATAAACTCTTGCGCCGACTCTCCCTCTTTCTGGGTCCGGTGATAAAACTTGAAACTTTCTGCTATTTCGTTTGGTGGTGGCGCGTAGAAATCTTCTAGAATTGTCACGACCTCTTTATAGGTTAATTCGCTCACCTTCCTTTGAGCACATCGGCCACTCAGTACTTCAATTGTTCTTGACCCGAGGGCGGACACCAGCAGGGCTCTTTTCTTGGCGTCCTCCTTGATTTCGTTTCCTTCGAAGTACGATTCAATCCGGATGGTGTACGAGGCCCACTTGTCTTTCCCATCGTCGAACTGCGGCACTTGATACGCCATGCTTTACCCAGGGTGGCAATACGCCACTACCCGCGTTGATTCGTTCTCGTCGCCACTGCTATGACGCGTCCGAACGGAGACATGCTGGGTTGTGAACAACGTTTATTGTCAGGGACGTGATAATATAGGCAGCCGATGCTTCGGGTGCAAAACAGAAAGGGTGGTGATAAGAATGACAAGTACATTGGAGGATGATACAAAGTTTCCAAGAGTCATGACACAGCTCTGATACAGCAAGTGGGCAAGACGACACCCCTCAAACGGGCCGTTCCATGTTGCGCCACGTGACTGCTTAGTTTCCGCGAATGCCACCAGTCTAGCGCTCCCCGGAGAAAGCCGCACGCTCGCGCGTTATAGACAAGTCTAACTAGCACTGTACATGCATAATCTGGCTCATTTATCTACTGGCCTTTGAACTGTGTGAGTTTGGTATGCCTTTGCCTTACTTTCTGTTGGTGTAGGTCATCTGTGGTCACCATGCTTATGCTTCGCGGTCTGATGTCCAGGTACTTCTGTACAACAGAACGCATGAGATGTTAGGCGTGGTTCTCCATAGGTTCATTCTCAAACATGTGATCATTTAGTGAGCTAAAGATGTATTTGCCAATGAAGCGTTTAAGAATATTACACAGCATCTTTTCATCAAAACTTCTTGGTGCAGTCGAAGATTGTTTCAAAGTGGCACGGAGGCCGATCTCACATTCTCGACATACTTCCAAGACACCTGCAGATGGACAAAGCAAGTCTTCCGCTGTGTTCCGCTGCAAAAATGAATGCGCTGGATCCCTTTCAGGAGCTGCTGTCACTGCGGCGACACATTCTGTGCACCTCAGTTTTGGAGGAGGAACCGAACTACAAAGCCAGCTATGTACACAACGGCCCTCTGCGACAGTTCCGAGATATGTCTTGGGTCTGAAAGATAGTCATTATCAAGAAGATCATCATCACCACGCCCCACATCTTCACCATCGTCAATTAGACTTCTTCTAACAGTGGTCCAGTTCAGAACTTCGACAGAATTTACATCTGTTGCGCTTGTGACATGCAAGATCTTGACCTGTTCAAGTGCAAGGGAATTACCTGATGTGAGGTCTTTAACCTCGTTTAACACAATCAGTCTCTTGAAAACAGCAGCAAACCGCCGTGTTGTTGGGTTGTCATTGCTCCTTGCGTGGGACCTCATCACTCCAAAAAAAGTTCGAGATGGTCTTGGCTGAACTTGTATGTTGGAAGGTATGTCATCAGTGAAGTGTCTTCGACGACATGCTTGTAAAGGTCAAGGACGCTGCGAATGCATACTAGAAAGCGAATGAATCCAGTTTTTCTGTTCGTTTCAGTCATCAGAACTCCATCAACACATTCTTGCAGAGACGAGAAGTAGGATGCAGCATCGTCTAGATAGAACCGGACATCTTCTATATTATCTTTGCACATAGTCTCTTCCACAGCTTCTGGCCGACATGTCCCGAATTCAGGGTGTCGAAGACATTGTTAACATGCCTGATAAACTGCTATGTTGGGCGTGACTGGTATAAGCTGGGAATACCAAGATTGCGGCACTCCGCAATTGCATCGGCAACTGATGTGCTAAATTATTGCGCAGCAAGTGACACCTTCATTGGTTAACTTTTCCAATAAATGTGCGACTTTCTCAGCTTGTTTGCAATGAGCACTCCTTATTTTTGTTTTATATCATGGAGATCTTCCACAAACTTCCATTGGATGAGGCCTTCATCTCTGTCCACAAAAACATGCTGATCAGATAGAGCATTTCTAAGCAATTTTAGCATATGGCAGGGGTCTAAGAAAACAAAAACCGGTTCCTTTGTGTCTGGGTGCCGAATGGTTGTCGCTAATTGGTCAACACCGAAGTTGCACCCCAAGTTGCTCAGCATTGTCAAATTGGCTGGAGCCCCATCACACGTTTGAGACACAACCTTGGCACCATTCTCATGGGACAACGTGAGGGTTTGTTTGACAAGGTTGGCTCGCTGCTCTCCTCCGATTCCATCCACAAGAAAATATCCCAGAGGAAGTTTCCACTGACCATTCAGCCCCACAGTGATGAAAACAAAGGCCTCTTTCGCAACAGGCAGTGAATCGTCACTGATAGCCGCACCCATGTCCTCATACCCATGAAACTTTTGTCCATCCCATTCCACATGGCGTCTCACAGCCATCTCATCAACCATTAGAGCACAAACTGTTGGTTTCCCAGATGCCGTGTTCTGTGCCACCCTGAGCTGCAGAACAGCGAGAGCTTCCTTTGAGAATCCAGCTTCTCCATTTATACTCTCGTACCACTTGCCTAGGGTTCGTGGATGCGGAAGGCACGTGTCGAAGACCTGCCGGACATAAGTGTATGCTCTTGGGGAGTAAACATGCAGGGTGAGTGCAAATGCTCGCAGTTCAGGTGAGTACTGGACTGGCCGAGGCACACCCTTCTTTTGTGCAACCTGACGCATCAGATCTTTGTTCACTCCGGCAAGGCTTTGAAGCACCGATAAGTTTTCATCAATCAGTAAGCTGTTTTTTGACAGATCATCAATAATGTCTTGCATTCGAGCTATTTTCTTTGTGAGGCGGCGCTGTGCTTGCTGAAGCGTCTTGATTTTCGTTTTGCTCGCTGTTTGCAGGCTACAGCAGCGCCTAACCTCCTTTCGATAGAAGGCCTTTTCAGGTGTGTCGTCAGAAGGTTGGCCCTACAATGACATATATGGCATGTTATATTTACGCTGCCTTTCGATATGAAAGCTCTGCAAGGAAACCTCTATCTGCTACCAAATTCAGGCAGCGTATGTCAAACCTGTACAAAATTGAGAACATTTTTTTTTTTTTTACCGTGGGTATCTTATATTTTTTAAGTCACGCATGCTTTGTTAGTAGATGCATGCTATCAAAGGTAAATAATAAAGAATGGATTGTTCATTTCTTCGCATGAAATCTCAGCAGCAATGTCGCAGTTCACCGAGTCGTGACAGAAACTAGAATGAGCTCGCCTTTTGGTTGCAGGCATTCGTTTCCATTTTGTCTTCCTTGTTTTTATTGATTGGCATCTTCTGCATTCTCGTGGGCGCAATAATCACCCTAGTGAAAGCAAGTTCTGATTTTCGTGCAAGTTATGCAGTTGGTAACAGGCAAGTGTTAGAGCCCCTTTGTTGATTAACCTTTTACACAAATACCCCTCCGCCCCAGTTGGCAGTTGATTACCAGCAAAGACCCGAGCAGGGTAAATTGAAAAATAAACCATTGCTCTTGCCCTGCCACCAACTGTGTTAGTGCAGATAATCGCAAAGAATCACACACCTCGCACAATATTGGTGCGGGAAATCAACTTTTATTGATCACATTTGTCGGCACGAAATCATCTGGCTAAAATCGCAATGCGTGAGCAATTTCATTGATTATAAAATTTCTTCACAATGACGGATCAGTTACCTAGTCAGAGTTGTTGATTTTATTAACAGTCAAATAGTGACAAAATGAAATCATTAGAGGATACTGCATCGAACATTTTGAGAAATATTAAGTCATAAGAAGTAAAAACAATACTTGCAGGTAATATGCGATTTCCTCTAGCGCGAAAGTTTTGCTCACCTCCAATCTTGAGTGGCCCTCGTCAGAAACATTTATGAGACTGGAATGTACCGTCAGGTTCTGCATAGAAACAAAGAGCTCAAGCCTAGTTATGTTTCACCGTTACGATGAAGCGGTTCATTACCGAGCTTGTCGAAGACACTGACAAGTCTATATCCAGTGTGCTGGACTCTGGAGGTACCTAAAACAGAGTGGATGCAATTAAGAAAGAACAAACAACTGGGAATTATACTAATCACACTAACTAAAACATTATGCTCGCCTCTGTCCTGAAAGCACTGCTACCAGGCACACCCTCCACAAAACGGGAATATGTTGCTAGTTCCTGCATTGATAGTCAGAGCTCAGCAAGTTTAGACTTTGTACACAAAGCTGGAATATATGCTAACAAAATAGGCAGCTCATTACTGTCGTAATTAAGAAACTCCGTTTGAGTCAATTATTTACTCACTCAGACATCCGAGCAGAAGACTATACATACAAGACCAAAAGCATTGCGTTCCAATCGTCATACACACATCGTCCTCGTCGTTTTCTAATCAGTCCCAGCTCGCGCAACAACACAACAGTACAGCGGTGCGCCCTTTTAGTGGCAGCACCGATTACAATCAAATGCATGGCACGCGCGATCAATGCAGGAAAACAAAGCCCGTGGCGATACGACACCGCGAATATAAGTAATGCTCTGACACAACACTTCCCCCCAAACAAGATTAAAACTTCTCGTACATAAGCCGATCCGGCTTGCTCGTCGCCCGAGTGCTACGCCTAGGCACTACAGGTGACGATTTATCAACCGGTCCCAGTGATGAGGCCATTTGAGTATTGCGCGGCGACACTTGCTCTGCACTTACATCAACTACAGACTGTGTTCGATCAGGTTCGACATGACGCTCGTCTTTTGGCGTGTCACTACCATGCGGCAATTCCATGTGACAATCGGACATTTCGGCTGAATCATCAGGCACCAGGGACGAACGTGGCAGATGATCTGCATGTACGAACCGTATTCGTCTGTCTACAAAGACGAAGTACGTCATGGT